TGGAGGGCCTGCCACCTTAGACAGACCGGCACCACCTAGTGCCCCTGCTCAATTTAATTTCTCTTCAGCGACTAGGTCAGGAATCGGAATACACTAGACGGTTTGCAAGAACCCAGAAAGTGCGAGTCCGAGCACCAGCCAATCAGGAAAGAGCCATACATTCCCAAGATTGAGAATTTAAAGCTGGAACAATGAGAATGTTTGGTGAATTTTATCAAGGGGGAAAACGTTATTGCCCTTCTTCCTACAGGATTTGGGAAAAGCTTAATATACCAGTTAGCACCGTTAGTGGTGCATTACATACGTCACGACCAAATAGCAGCGATCGGTTAAATAAAAAAAGTACCTACCTACTGTCGAGTGAACGAATCCTAATGCTGCGAGGTCAGACTAATTCCATGAAGTGAAACCAGCTGATGAATCAGGCTACTGCCACCTGATGTCTCCATGGAAATGTTATTGCTTTGTCTAGAATGTTCCACAGTATAGATTAAATTTTTCTATCACAAGAAACACAAGCAGGTTGCAGCACTTCACTCCAATACAGTTCAGATCTGTGGAGAAGCACCCCTATTCACAGACGGAATAAGTGTATTTTGGAGCAATAGAAACCGCTGTAATGAATAAATGCTAGATGGAAAAGTCATACCGTGGAATATTCCAGGCAAAGCAATAACTTCTCCATGGAGACAAGTATGCAGTGGACCCTCCACCATGAAACTTCCGTGGTGCACCTTTAAGTCTTGTCTTAATACCCACTTTTATTCTCTGTTTTTTTAAGTTGTGTAGTTGCCTTTTATTGTCTTTTATCTGGCTTTTGTTATTATTTTTTATTTATTCATTTTTTAAATATAAATTGTATTTTTTTAGCACAGATTTTTTAAAATTTATTTTATTATTTGGATTTACTGTTTTTATTAATTCCTTTTGTCCAGAACATAATTCTGATTGTCCGGATATTTAGATATTAGAGATTAGAGGTTAGATATTTTCCATTGCTATGTGAAGCACTTTTGAAACTGTCTGGTTTATAAAATGGTCTATACATATAAACTTGGATTGGATTATTAATTAATATGAATAAATCACAAGATCTCATGTTCACACTTTCTGTTGTCTTTTCGCCTGTTGGGATGTAGTATTCTTTAAACTATCTCAAGGCTCTATTCCAGCAACTCTTGTTCCATGGACTGACCTTACTGCTGTTTTGATTTTCAGGAAGTCAACCTTTTTCAATGTGCTGACAAAGAGCCAGGCTGCAGCAGAAAATTTCCCCTTCTGCACCATTGACCCAAATGAAAGCAGAGTGCCCATTCCAGATGAACGCTATGATTTCCTCTGCCAATTCCACAAACCTGCCAGGTATGGGGTCTCATCGCGCACACATTATTCACACTTGAGTCTGTGCTCGCTCCGGCGCCTGCTATAGGTCTGAGGACGTATAAGCATGTTGTTGACACCGACTGCCAATACAAGGTGTGATTGCTCTGGTCTCTGGTCGCTGTTAAAGAGGCAGCATCAGGACCACACCTGGTTATCATACATGTTTACAACAGCTGTTAAAGCAGGGCCCATTCACATTTGCTCTGCTCCACTGACACCTCGTACCATCTTTCTCAGGCTGTGACAAGCAACTACAAAGAACCTATCACTATGTGCATTTTTATCACTTTTCTAAGACCAGTGTGGATGCTACTGGAGACTATGCTAAGTCTTTTTTGGCTATACTATATCCTTTAAATTGTATTTATTAAATCTGCCATAATTTTTAACCAAAATAATTGGGTCATGTAGCCAGTAAGTCAGAGCACCAGTCCTAGTCAATTTTTTGAAGATTAGTTAGCAACCAAGTTAAAAAAAAAAGTTTGGTCATGATATATCTGGATGGAGGACGGGGCGAATTGTTTTTTCTTTTGTGTTTGTGCCTTTATCTTATTTCCATTCACAGTTATGGCAAATAAATAAACCAATAAAATGGGAGCTTCTGGCCTTTTCTCAACTAGCCACTGATTGCTAGGTTTCAACTGGCTATCCATTGTCCTAGTACTAGCTACTCTTTTTCTTAGATGTTTGAGACAGATATTTGATACCGAGGCCTGAGGGAAATTCAAGTTTTGCTGCAGTAAAGTGTTGCAGTGTTGCTGCAACATTTATACTGTGCTTCTCAGTTGCTTTTGTATCTTAGTCAAAGGTCTGAGTGCAGTTTAAGAGGAGGATTGGTCAGGTTGGGTCAGCAGATCTGTGTCAGGGGAGTTTAAGGAGAGGAAGAGCGAAAAGTGTTCCTCCTCTGTGTCTTGCAGCATCACAGGAGTGTCCAGAGGAGCCAGGTGAACAAAACAGGAAAGGCCCTGTTCTTACTCCACTCTGCTGTTTCATCTTTGTCTCCTCTGGAACATGTTAGAGTATTTCCTCTGAAAGGTCTTCTGTCACATTTGCTGCCACATATGGTGTAAAAAGCCTGTAGCTGTCCATAGTGTTAATTTCACACAATCCAAGAGTCCCTTGTGTTCACTCCCTCAAAGTATTCCATCTGAAATGTGTAAAATCTGTATATTGTTTGGAATAATTGTATACATAACTATCATTAAACTCTGGAAATACAAATTTATGTTGAGAAAAGTTATGCTCTACACTGATTTCCCTCCCTTTTCTCTATAATGTGCAGTAAGATCCCAGCCTTCTTGAACGTTGTTGACATCGCTGGCCTGGTGAAAGGAGCTCATGCTGGACAAGGTCTGGGCAATGCTTTCC